AAAGAGCTTTGTTTAAATGGGCTAGCTTGTAACTTCGTTGTCATCTGGTGCTTTCAGGGTGACATTTCCCTAGAAATACAGGTGAGTATTCCATTATCCCTCTTCCAGTCTGAATGAGAGACTCAGAAACATAACAGACATGTGCATACATTATGTGGACAGGTATGATGTAGCTGACAACACAGATAAAAGAAGCATGTAGGAAAAGAATATGAAAACGAATATATGCATGTCTATGTATGACTGAAGCATTGTGCTGTAGGGAAACTGACACAACACCGTAAACTGACTAGACTTCAATAAAAACACATATATAACAACAACAACAAAAAAGAAACGTGCAGGTATAAAGTAAGGAAGGCTGGCTCTACTTGAAAAGACTGGAAACATCTGGGAATGGAGTTCTCCTTTTCATACTGGCAGTTAAGTTTCATTGCCTGCTTAGTGATAAATATTGTCAGGGCCCATTTAGTTCAGCAAATCCCATTAATCCACAACAGGACTTCTCCACCCTTCCACCTGGAAGAGAGAAGAGGAGTCCATGCTGACTTTCTAGATTCCCCAGCACTTGATTTCAAGATTTCCTCTAATCTTTAAGATCTTACAGAATTAAATGTTTTATTTTGAGAGTGCTTTTCACTAATCCGATTTTACACTCATACATATATTTATTAAAATAATTTTTATCTTCCTTATCGTAATAAAGGAGGGCAGAAACACTGTCTTCTTTTGTCCACCATTATGTCTCTAGAGCTTACTGCAATACCTGGTAAATAATTAGTGCCCAACAAATATTTAGTGAACGAATAAATTCTTGAATGAATGCAATCATGAATGAATAGCAATAAACTCAATCCTAATATTCTCCTACTCCAAGCTTCCCAGAATCAAGTTTATTACCCTATCTGGATACCAATATAGTCACTGTTGATACGGAGATAAGGTGATAATGATTTAGTAATGCCATTATTTGGCGCATTTGCACTTGAGAGAGGGAGGAAGAGAAGTAAGGAGGGGAAGTAGGAAGGGGAAGAAGGGAGAGAAGGGAAGCGGGGACAAATGGGGAGGAGAGAGGGGGCAGAAGAGAGAAATGAAAGAATGCCTAGAGTCTGCTAAACAGAAAGAAGTGATAAATAAGGTAAAATGTCAGGCACAATCTTCAGAGCTTAAGGGATAGGATCCTAAACTTATTTCAACATGATGAGTTAACTACCGACTGATAGTAATAAGCCTAGATATCATGCACGTTATTAATATAACACCATACTTTATTCTCTATAACAATGATTCCTTGTCTGGCTAAATATGAATATGTCCCAATTATTCATAAGGATAGGCTATTTGCTCAATTTTTAGAACGTGGATCTTCCTGTTCATCTGGTCCCTACAAAATCAGGGGCTTTACTAAAGTAAGTCACTTAATCAATGACCACATCAGTGCAGAGCCATTGTGCCAATCAGCAGCCGCATAATCTTGGGCAAACCACTTCACCTTCTTGAGTTTGTTTCTCTAGTCGTAAAAACAAATATTAAAATCTACCTTGTAGACTTTAAACTTAAATGCTCACAAGAGACAAAGCAGGTCATTTTATGGCGATAAAGAGGTCAATTTATCAAGAAGATAAAACAATTGTAAATATTCATGCAACATCAGAGCACCTTAATATATAAAGCAAATACGTAACAGAACTAACAGGAGAAATAAACAGGAATACACTAATAGGTGAAGACTTTAATATCTGACTCTTAACAACGGATAGATCATCCAGACCAAGAATCAATTAGGGAACAGTCGATTTGAACGATACTATAGACGAAATGAGCCCCACGGACGTACAACAAACATTTCACCCAACGGTAATGGAATACACGCTCCTCTCATGTGTACACAGAACATTTTCTAGTATAGATTATATGTTAGGTCACAAAACAAGTTTCAAAAAAATTCAAGAAGACAGAAATTATATCAAGTATCTTTTCTGACCAGCATGGTATGAAACTGGAAATCAACAATGAGAGGAAATCTGGAAAATTCACACGTACATGAAAATAAGACAATACAATCCTGAACAACCAGTGGATCAGAGAACAAATCACAAGAGAAATTTTAAAAGATATCTTGAGATACATGAAGTAGAAACACAGCATATCAAATCTTATGAGATGCAGCAAAAACAGTTCCAAGAGGAAAGCTTACAGCTATAAACACATGCATCAGCAAAAAAAGGAAGTTCTCAAGTAAACAGCCTAATATTATACCTCAAGGAGCCAGGGAAAGAAGAAAAACGTAAGCCCAAAGTTGACATAAAGAGGAAATTATAAAGATTAAATCAGAAATAAATAAAATAGAGAACAGGAAAACAATGAGAAGAAAAAGATTATAAAAGAAGAGATTAACAAAATTAAGAGTTGGTTATTTGAAAAGATAAAAAATTGATCAATCTTTAGCTAGACAAAGAAAAAAAGAGAAAAGGGCTCAAATAAATAAAATTATTAATGAAAGAGCAGACATTTCAGCTGCTGCCACAGAAATGCAAAGGGTCATGAGACTACTATGAACAATTATATGCCAATAAATAAAACAACCGAGAAGAAATGGATAAATTACTAGAAACATACAATCGACTAAGACTGAATCACGAAGAAATAGAAAACCTGAACAAACCAATTACTATAACGTAGACTGAATCCGTGATGAGAAACTTTCCAACCAAGAAAAGCCCAGAACCAGATGTTTTCACTGGTGAATTTTACCAACCATTTAAAGAAGAATCAATGCTAATGATTTTCAAACTCTGCCAGAAAGTTAGAGAGAAAGGGCTGCTCCCATCCCACTGTTCACGGCCAGAACTACCCTGACCCCAAAGCCAGATACGGATACCTCAAGAAAAGAAAACTGCAGGCTAATATCATTGATACCCAGAGATCAGAAATCCTCAACAAAATACCAGCAAATCAAATTCAACAAAAAAAATCACACACCACGAGCTAGTGGGGCTGATCTCGGGGGCGCAAGGGATAGTTCAGCACATGCAAATCATCAAGTGGGATGCATCACATTAACAGGGTGAAAGATTAAAGTCATACGATTAACTCAACAGATGCAGGAAAATGCATTTGAAAAAATTCAGCGTGTTTTCTTGATAAAAACTCTTAACAAATTGGTTCGGAGGAATGTACTTCAACGTCACAAAGGCCATTAAATAACAAGCCTACAGCTAACGTCATACTCAATAATGAAAGGTGGGAAGTGTTTCCTTCAAGATCAGAAGACAAGGGGGCCCACTCTCCTTTTCAACATAGTACTAAAAGTCCTAGCCAGAACAATCAGGCAAGAGAAAAAAAAAAAAGACATCCAAATTAGAAAGAAAAAAGTAAAACTGTCTCTGCAGGTGGCACGATCTTATATATAGAAAACCCTAAATACTCTAACACAAAAAAATGCTGTTACCACAAAACTTCATTAGTAGCAGAGCAACACACTTTTTTCAAAATGTCCTTACATCAACAATTTGAAACCACCAAAGAATTTGAGCTCTGAAGAACATTATGCTCTAAATTGTATCGTAAGTTAGGAAAAGGCAGAGTTATCCGAAGATATCTACATAAAAATAACAACCAAATCCCAAAGACCAATTTGATTAAATAGTTTTTTTTTTAACTGAAGTATAGTCAGATTAAAATGTTGTGTCAGTTTCCGGTGTGCAGCATAACGTTTCAGTCATACATACACATACATATGTTCGTTTTCATATTCTTTTCCATTGTAGGTTACTACAAGATATCGAATATAGTTCCCTGTGCTATACAGAAGAAATCTGTGGTTTATCTATTTTATATATAGTTGTTAGTATCTGCAAATCTCGGACTCGCAACTTTCCCTTCCCCACCCCCTTAAACAGTTCATTATGGCAGAGATTTAATGTGAAAATAATGATAGCTTAGAAATACAAGCATGAAATCAGGTTCTTCAAAAAGAGCATGTACATGTAATTATTCCTCAAAGCTAATTTTTGAAATGAGCCAAAGTACCAGCCATGTGTCAGAAATGCTGTATTTCTGCTCTGAGCAGTGACTTAGAATTGCGCAGCTTGCCACGGCTAGAGTTCCTCCCAAAGGCTGAGGATATCCACACAGCAGTCAAGCTACTCACTATCTAGGATGTTGCACAGAAAGTCACCAGCTTCCAGTTGCTTGGTGGTGGGTTGAGGTATGAAAACATCGCAAAGAAATGACAGAGAAAAAAAAGATTCAAAATCCTTCCCCACCTCAAACAACCTCCCTGTGCGACTTCTGAAATGGAGATGGGTTACGAAATCAACGCTTTAGCCCACCCAGCAGGGTAGGCGACTGAATCATCAAAAAAAGCATGTGGAAACCGTGACCTAGAAAAGCACGAAGGCTGCAAAACAGGTCAGCACAGGAAAAGAGAATAAACACACATGCACCGGTCACATGCTCATCATATGGCCTTTCGCAAGAATATAAAATAAATCTGAGACACTGAAAATAGTCCCTCGGGGGGAAAAAAAACCAAAGACTCCACCAATCCACACCCTGTGAATGTGTTAGCTAATCCAGAGGACATGGTTATTTTGCGATTACAGCGATAACGTTTGTGAGAGACGAGATCAGCGAGGACATCTCATGTCATCCTGCCGTCTCCACCTATTTTCCCAAGCCTGTGGCAGCTGCTGACACCAATTCTATATAATAAATGCCCAAAATAGCCCTCGGTCTCTTTCCAGACTCTTAGCATCTTCTTTTCATGGCGAGATTACTGCTTCTCTACACATCTCTCCCAGGGATTTAAAGATGAGACTGAGAGAGTGGAAGCATCACAGAGGGAAGACACTGTGTGTGCCCCCCTCCACCAAACTGAGCGTGCCAGCACAACCTTTGCAGGACCTGTGGTCCAGACATGAACCTAGGACGGAGGCCCACGCCGAAGGAGAACCTTAAAGCCGAGTGCATCAAGCTGGATTCTCCGAAAAACTTACAGCTTTCAATTTCCAAGGTGCAGTTTTGTTCATCCAGTGGGTACCGCCTTAAGTCCATCATGCAGGCAGCTGTGGTTGTGATTCTAGAAGAGAAATATCAAGGGTACGTGCTGTTAGCTTGTCTGTGACTGGAGTCGGAAAAATTAAATCTAAGTATCAAAGAAGACAGAACTGGACCTCTAGGAGACTGATTTAGTCTAAGCTCTAACCGAAAAAAAAAAAAGTGCTACAACTTTGGATAACCATTTTCCTTTAGGAGCCTCATAATGATTTGTAAATTAAAGAGAGTGGATTAAATCAGTATTTTCCCATGATGGGGTCCATTACCTACTTGGTACCAAAATCACCCGGGAATGTTTGTTAAAAAGGCAGCTCCCATTCTCCAGAATGTCCTGGGGATACGGCAGGGGCGTCCCGGGACTCTGTTTTACAGCCATCACAGGTCACTGAGAACACCAACATGGATGTTACTCTTACACCCACTTTGTTTTCCTTTCCCTTTCTCAAGACCCTAAAATCTATCTAATTGTCGATCACTCTTGGCTTTGATCAATCATTTTTGACCTTTCTATACATAAGGTAGTATTCTGCAAGTGCGTTAGCAGAACACACGATATTCGCCATTCATCTGTCACCTGACTGGCTCTGTCCTGAATAATCTGATATTCTCATGGCCTATTAGAGAGCTTCCTCCTGTTGGTTGGCAGAGTTGTTCATCTAGAACACAAGGTACCTTTATTAATTTTTCAGGGAGAAATGAATGTGTCTCTTTAATGTCTTTATATTTCTCTGTCATCATTTTTCACTAATCTCACTTTTCACTAATTAAAGAAGGCCTACAAGAAAGAGCCAAAAAACACACAGCCCTAAATGATTTATCACTATGTTTTCTGATCAACAAGGCAGCACAATGTTATGAAAAAGCACAACTTTTAAAACACAACAGACATAGGTATGAATTCTAATCCTGCCTCGCTAACTGATACACATCAAGATGGCTAGTATCTCCTAACCAAGCTTAGTTTCTTCATCTATGAAAGGAGACATTATCAACAATAATTACCTAATACAGCTTCTGTATGAATTAATATAATATTTTATGTAAAGAATATAAAAGAAAACCTACACATAATAGACCCTTTATGTCTGTTGGAAAAAAAAAACTAAGAGTAGAAATTAGTGTTAAATTTGACCAACTGTGGCTTAACTCAAATCTAAGAGACACTGTATTACATGTTGGAAACAGAAATAAGATGCAGCCCCAGCTTGGGAGAAAGAGCTCACAGCTCAGCCTTCCTCGTTAAAGGGTCTTAGACAGAGCTCAGGCGAGCAGTCCAGGTAGACTGACTCTAGGAAATTCCTTAGGTGTGAGAGTCCCACTCCCCCATGGTAGGATGGAGACAAACAATTGACTTACTGTACAGAGTTCATGCCTCTCTACCTGTAGTTTGATGACTGCTTTATTAAGTTCTGGGCTCTGTTAATTTTTGTTCTTTTTAGTGATGAGCAAGTATCCTAGGGCTAGTGTTCATCCTAGGTTTCTTCCTCTCCTTTACCAGGAGTCAGCTACTCTGCCCTGGCCCTTTTTCATCTTCACTGCCTCCTTCTGAATCTATGGGGCCATTGCTTCGTCTCCATGTTACTACAGTATCTTGGTCTCCCAGCCTCCCCACCTGCCTCCCTGCTACCCATGATCCACACAGCAGTCAGATGTTTGAAAAGCACAGATCAGATCTTATCTCTTCTCTTTAAAAATGTTAGCGGCTCTTCCAAAAAAATCCCAGTCTTGGCTACTGCCTACTGTGCCCTGAATCCACTGACCCTTCCTTCCCTTCTGACGCTCAAGTCCTCACTCACTATTTCCAGCCTTCACCTTTGTTCTCTCTGCCTAGAACATGTGTTCTCTGACCTCACAGCTGGTCCTCCAGCTCAAAACTCACCTCCTTCGAAAGACCTTTTCTAAGCAGCCCACCCGAAGCAGCTGCCTTTACTAATGCTCCGTCTAAGCTGTTCATTTCCCCCCAGCAGTGATTACAATATGAAATTATCTTGCTCATTTCTCTTTTGTAAAAACTATTTCTCCCAGTAAAATTTAAGCCATTGAAAGACACAGGCTTTTTCTACTTAGCATAAGGGAATCAGCAAATATCTACTAAATGGATAACATATGAATTAACAAGAGTCAAGCCGTTGGTTTTGCTTTCATTTGGAGGGTGACTTTATTGCATCATTTCTCTTCTCTTTAAACTAAAATGTGGCTTAGGTTTTAGGGATTCTTTTCATATTTTCAACAGTAAGTAAACTATAATCCATTTAATTAGCATTATATTAACTAGTACCAGAATTTTTCTTGTTATCAACCTGATTGTTTCTGCTTTCAATGGGACTGATCAATTACCTATATATTATAAATTCTAAAAATTATACAAAAATTAACAGTCACATTCTTTACTCAGAGTTTTAAAAAGGACAATTTATTTTGGCTATGTGATACTTGGCTAAATTTTTGATGAGTCCACTGATTTTTTTTTACCATGTAGATACAATCTGAATTGCCACTAACATACAGGAATCTGTATGGTGTAAAACAGAAATGTTCAAAGGAAATAAAATTAGGCACATGGTGGGCATATGGAATTCTCATGCTATTTACGTAAGACAGCAGATACAATCTCCATCTTGAGACTCTAGAGAAAATTCACTTCATTTGATGGAATGAACCCAAAAGACATGAAAGGTACAAGGGAACACATAAGATAAAAGAGGAGAGCCATAAATAGATGCCCGACTGTGTAAGTGAGGTGGAATTTGCAATTGCCCCTAAGGTTGTGGTTCCCACATTCTGCTGATGCATATTCATGGCAACTAACATCTGTGAACTAGTGTTGTGAACCAGAAAATAAATTGACTAATGCTAACGCAGAAGCAATGGGTTTCTACTCATGTTTTAAAGATGAAGTATGAAGAAAGTGTTTTTCTCACATCAACAACATTCACAATTACACTGATGTTTCACTTTTTTTAATGCTATAATATACTTCGCAAAACTAAAAAAAAATTATAAATGTGTGCTAGTTGATGTTTATAAGCATTTGTGTCTCCTGTTGGATTAAAGCAGAAACTCTGTAGCCAAAACAATACATTTGGATCCTGATTGTATAGACCAGGATGAATGACATGGGATAAGACATTACATTCTCCAAGACTCAGTTGCCCCTGAAAAGTTGAATTAAAAACTTGCCTTCCTGCTTGGTTGTGAGATGATAAAAAGTAGGAAGAAAGCTGTAACTCAAAATATTCTGCATCTTCTGTTATTGCTCATTGCTAACTAGGAAATACAGTGATAACTCAGTTAACCAGTGGTTACTTGGTAGTACTCACATGTATGTTTGTACACATGGAGAAACATAGACTATTTACACACTTCTAAGCAAAGCAGAGCCATAAAATATTATGTAAATCGTGTGCCAGCGCGATTGCACATAGATGTGCAAAGAGAATCATTATGCCATGTGTTTATGAAACTGTTTTCAACAAATTTTAAGACAATGTACCAACATGTGTAATAAACCTGCATGTTTTCTAGGTGCTCAGTGAGATCAGGAACCACATCTATTTTCGTCTTATTTGTATCTCAAGCATTTTGCCAGGTGCTGGCATGTGTCACTAACCCAAGATAAAAAAAAAATATTAATAACAACAATAACACAGAACAAAGACAACCACGGTCCTAAGTAGTCGCAAACTGAGGATTCTGAAGCAATTCTCAGTATTAAGTGCCTAATTTATGTACAAAAATTCTCAAATAAATTTAGAAGTCAAAATCATCCTTATAGAAGAAGCTACCCTGGAATGAATCTTTTTCAGAAAAGGTCAATGATCAGCATCAAAATCTATCCTCTGGGACATTCTCATTTATAACAGGGCTAAGCTTCTCTAGGAATAAGTCAATACAACAAATATACTTAACGGGCTTTTCATGAACATGCCTTTCTGAATCCTGATAAGTGTCCTTAATGGGCCTTAAATTACTCAAAACCACTACCAGGAGTCTTTGAAGGGAAGCCAGCGACTCATTAGGCAGGGATCCTGATTCAGTTTCAAGACCATTGTGACATATATGAAGACAGCTCCGTTTTTCAATCTGAGGAAACAGTCAATGATGCCTCCAGAATGTACCTGAGAGCAAGTCCTCTGTAGTTAAAAGAAGACATGTGTCTTCTTCAGGGCTGAATACCATTGCACCTTTGGGGAATGCTAACATCCCCACTGGGATAAGAGATCTCTAGATAAATTTTTAATCCTTAGCCATTGGGCACTGTCATCCAAAAAATGATGTATGTCATAAAATACTGACACAGTGCAAGAAAACTAAGTAGGTAACATGGCTCTAAGAGTCGCTAAAGGCGCCTACAAAATCAAGACATACAATAGTTATGCCAGTATTTTGCATTAAAGCCATAACTGATATGTTCTACTGTCATTACCTAAGATTTCATGATGCTACTGTATCAGCCTAAGTTTGAATACGACCAAAGATAGTTATTAAGCAGTAATAGAGGTCTTTGCCCCTCCCCCACCCCCAGCAAATCGGAAGTAAGTCTGAATCATCAACGGGACACACTGGGGTCTTCCAGCAGACCCTGCAAGGGCGCCTTCAGGAGCTAGGGCGCCTTCAGGAGCTAGTTAACATGGTCAAACATGGGCCTGAACACATGACATACTGACCAGGATTTCAACCAAGGATCATAAAGATGTGACTTTGGACTTTTACTCTCTTTGATTTCTTTATCTTGACAACCACCCAGTTATCCCAGACCCCTATCCCCATACTGTTTTTTCAACATCTTTGTATATTTCTTAAGAAAATCAGATGCCTTATCCCCAACTGTATTTAAAACATATTGTGCTAATTCACAGCATGCTTTTACTTTGTTCAAAATGTACATTTCCTTAAACACACAACTTCCTCTAATCACAGAGAACAAAGGAAATCTTTAGTATCAGTAGGCATCACTAACAGAGAAAAATTAGGATGTTAAAAAAAGGTCTATTATCAAAAAATGTATTGATACACATTTTG